AGCTGGGAGTGTGTGCCCGTTCGTGGTTTCCCAATGGACCCAGCCCATCCCAGCCCCAGCAGTGACTATAGGCTCCGCTCAGCTCACTCGACTCGGTTGACCCAGTTGGGTCTGGAGTAGACTGGAGTACAGGCATGCTCGTATGCGGTGCGCACCCGCGGACCCTGTCGCGGGCCGTCACCGAGTTGGCTCGCGGCAATCTGAGAGGCCTTGAACTTGAGCGGCAGGTTTCACTCTCAAATTGATCCGTGACCGCAAGCATTACAAGCCTCAATGCGCAGCAGCAGCACATCATGGAGGACAAAAACAGTCCTCCTGCAAACAATCGATGGCCTGGTCTCCGAAGCCGTGTTCAACACTCTTGTGTTGGACTGACAATGAGAAGCTCCACAACGTTTATGTGTGCAACGAAAAATTAGAAAAAGAAGAATGATCGTCACGCGTGCGAACTCATTATTTATTGTGGTTTCGAAAGTACCTCTAGCCAAAGCCACCCGTTTGATTTGACCTGAAGTTTGTTAAGTTTCCCTGTTCCTCCGCTGACTCCCATGCTTGCTAAGTGCACCTACCGGACCGAGGCTGTCTGCCCACCGACTAGCAATCACGTGACCGAAATAAAAACATGATCCCTGCTATCCGTCACACATCTGCTAACGCGAGGTTGATCTGGATCGGGGGCGTGCGTGGCGTGGCGTGGCGGGGCGTGGCGTGGCGGGGCGTGGCGTGGGGGGACAATGGGATGCATGCCTGGCGGTCAGCCCCCGCCGCCGCCACGCCCACCGCCCAGGTTCCGCCATCAGCCGGCGGCACGTCCACGTCCACGTCCACGTCCACGTGGTACGTTACTGTCTAGCCGGCAGCGGGGAAGGGAACCTGATTACACGCAGACCTTCTTTCAGCGGGACCTAACTGCGGGCCGTGGCTGGGTGGGACGTGGAGTGGAGTGGCGTGGCGTGGAGGGGCGGTGGCGTGGTATAGCGTGCCTAGCGCGGAAGGAAACACGCGACTCCCGAGAAGGTCCTACCTCCTGCCGGCTCTTTCAGTCTCCCTGCAGCGGCGTCCCCCGGCCCGGCGCCCCGCCCCGCCCCGCCGTGCTGAGCGCTGCCTTGGCGCCGCCCTGCTCTTGTGGTCCGAGGTGCAGCCGAGGCGCGGGGCGGTGACGTGAGCGAGCTAGCGTGCTGGCGTGCTGGTGCAGCACCTGCCGCGGGCCCCCTCTCGTCCCCG